GAATCAAGTTTATTGCCAAGTAGGTTTGCACTTACAAGAAATTTGACTTGGTATTGATGGTGCAGACAAATCGGACATATATACAGAATACAGAATCTATAGCTATATACAAAATAAAAAATACAATATACTGTATAAAATATATAGTATATAGCCATATATTATATACACAGTAGACTGTGCGTTAATGTAACTCAGGAAGTCTGGAGATGCTACATTGGTGTAGCTTGTAGGTCCTGAACTGGGGAAGGAGAGAGGCAGTGTCAGTGTCACGGGAGTCTCTGGTCCTTGTTGGTAAGGCTGGTAGCTGGTAATTGAGCCAGCTAATAGGATGTTAGAGAGAACGGTGACAATAGGAACGAGGATTTTCTCAGCACTCAGAGCACCCCGGCATCATATACTGACAATGGCAGCCAATAGGTAATGAAGACCGGTGAGGTAATCCTAAAAACAGCTTGAGTTTATTTGACTGAAGGACCAATTTAAAATTAAAATCTTCCATTGACATAGAGCCAATTATCAAACAAAGGAATGCAGATGTCTGGGTACTTAAAAGGATTGTTAAGGACATTTTATTAATCGCACAATAATATAGTGCTATGGTGAATCTTGGCATATATGACGTATTAGTGAAGTAAAAACACAAACTAAACAGTGACGAGATATTCTTATGAATTGTGTCACCTGTTTTTAATTGAAGTAGGAATTTTACAGCAAGCAAGAAGACTGCAAAAAGTGAATAAAAAATTAAATAATAAAGGATAGCAGTCTTAAAATGTTTTGATCTGCTTTTTAGTTTTACTCTTTATGGTTGGCCATATGTATGGTCGACATAGTACACTGCCCAATTGCCCTCCCTCAAATCAGATCTGCCAAAAAGCTTTTGCTCTAATCTCTCTGTCCCCTCTGCTCTGTGCTGGGCTGTTTTTTGTCATTTTCTCTCTGTAACCAGGAGAGAGCCTTTCCCACAGTGAACACCCTATTACCATTTAGTATGCAAATAAACCTGCCATTAGCCGGATAATCCAGTGTCAAATTTCTGTCTGTTAGAAAGGGGATAAAAATTTGAATAAGTTCAGTTAAAATTCCTCATCGAAATGTGTGTTGTATTATGTGTGCGCCTAAAGTGTAAGCATATCCAATTACACAGGTGCAGAGAGATGCGATTGCTTGGAGCATGACAAGGCTGTGGAGGGCAGACAACTCACTGTATCCCATGCGAGGGGAAAATGTATCACAACACAACACTTTAGCTGAAATAGCAATTCAGTTGTTTTGATGTGTCTAGCTGAATGGAAAGAAAGATAGAAAGAAAGAGATAGAAACAGACTGTCATGGTTTTGGTTATATTGTGCTTTACTTTGCTCAGTGTTTCCTAGTTTTATTGGTTTAATTCCTTTTTTGTTGTAATTTTTAGATTTATGTTAGTTCTCATGTTTTTCTGTTGTCCTCTGTTGCCCTCTTGTGTGTGTGTGTGTTCCTTTCCCCTTGGCTCCCTCATTGTCTCCTCTCACACCTGCTCCTTGTCAGCTTGTTAGCCCTCCCTTTGTCTGTCAGCTACATATACTCTCCATCTGAAGTCGCTCCTTGTTGGTTCCCTGTTGTTGCTGGTCCTGTCGTCGCCGTTGTCCTCTCACCTCGTCTCTCCCTGGCTCCTTGTGCATGTTTTCCCCTGATGTCTCCATGGTTCTGGTTTGTGTTAAATATTAAGTTGAATTTTGGACTCCTGCCTCTGTTAAACTGTTTCCTCTCATTAAAACTACAAGAAATCACATCTGCCTCCCTGCCTCTGCATTTGGGTCCTCAAACCACAACCAAAACGTGAGACAGACAGAACATTCTTTCAAATTTGGATATAGTAGGATTGCAACACTCTGGCCTAAAGCTCTGTTTGGAGTTTAAAAGTTCCCCTTAGTAAAAATCTTTAAAGCTAGGAAGCCTGTGTGTTTGCACTGCAGTTACGTACATTTACATTATTTTCACAGCTAATTATTTAACTTTAAATTTCATTTTGTTTTAAGTTAGGAGACTGTAAACTGCATTGCAGAGCTACAATGCTTATAGTAGGTGTGTGAATGAGCTGATTATCATTATTGTGGGGTCTCTTTATTATTGGCAGAAATAAAGGGTAGAAAATCAAATTCTGCTCAGGGCATGGAAACTTGTGCCTGCCCTGAATTTGCATCTCACTAAATGACATTTAAAATCTAATGGAGAAAGGTCTCTGATAAGATCAGCCCTGCCAGATGGCTGACACCTATTTACACTGGATGTATAATTTATGACATTCAATAACCTACCCCATTTATTGAACTAAATTACTGTAAAACAAATTCAGTTTTAATAAAACTCCATATTTCTTGTTATTTTTCAATTATAACTCATATACATTACCGGTACATGCTTATTTTTTTTATTTCACGCTGCTCTATGGATTTTCATGCGTACCCTGAATCTATTCAGTGCATGGGTTAGCTACCCTCAACTAACCTCAGACTGCAAATGAAAGGAGAGCAAAGTGTCCTTAGAGACATATGGCTCAGCTCTGCACTGCAAGAAACAGCTGCAAATGTTCGGCTTTCCTCTTTACTAAAGTGGGTGAAATAATTCTCTACCAGTTTTACAAACTTGAATATATATGCATTTTTTTTTCAATGTAATGTTTCAGTACAACTGTGAGTCACTGACACCCTTAACAGAGAGGATGTAGGCAACAAAGGGCTATTTTTACTGAATGTTCAAAAACATCAATTAGAAGTTTTGAGAGGAAGAAAAAATGATGGTTGTGAAAATTAAAAGAAAATGTATATGGTGGTAAAAATTCTCAGTCATCCAGGTCATTTATTATTCCAGAAAAGTTCAAAACATTTAAAACAAATAAACAGACAAAAAGGTGTTTTTTTATTACTTTTTTTACTTCTTTGGAATGAAATTGTAATGATATCTTTGCTGAGATGACTTAGACAACTTTTATTGTCATTTTCTATACACAGAGTTTATACAAAACGAAATTTCATGTTGTGCAGCTTTTCAGATAGTAAATGAACATTGGCATTCCATAAAGTGCAGCAGTGAGCAAATGTAAACAATGTGGGGGAAAAAAACATGGTGCAAAAAATGCATTGATATCGAAGTTCAGAGCATTTATACATTTGGTGCAAATGTGCAGTATTTTTGGCTTGGTGTTCAGAGGTGTAGCCAGAACATTTTAATAAGGGTGGCCAGGCAATAACCAATGTACACTGAGGGGAGGCCAAAAGCAGATAGGTGCCAGAAGCTCAGGGTCAATCTACATTGTTCCAAAAAAAGAAAATGAACAACTACAACATCCATATTTTCAAAATAAAGACAAACTATACTTTCCTACAGCCTTTGCTAACAAATAGACGCATATATTTAAACATCCATGCTAATTAAATTAAAGGTGTGGTGGAAAAAATTCTTTCAGTTTTGGGTTCTGGGGCGAACATCTTATTTGTTGTCAGTACCTATCTACTTTTATCAATAATCATTCTGTATACAATTAATATTTAAATCTAATAATATCTATATTAAATGGATTACTTTTTATTAAAATAATTATCTCGGATTTAAGTGGAGATTCGTAAATGAATTGTAGACCCAATATAAGACAAAATGTAGTTCTGAAAAGTGCATTAATTCTGTATCATCTTTATTGTAAGCATATTGATGTGCATAATTAACCACAGCTTTTTAGTTGTCAGGTAATTGTTTACATATAGAAAATCAAAATGTTGAATAAGTTAAAACATTCCACTTGAGAGTATTACTGCTGCCACTGTCTGTATTAGAGGGAAAAAAATGGTAGGGGTGGCAAATGATTGGCTAAGGGTGGCCATGGCCCCCCCTGGCCCCCCATCTAGCTGTTGGTGTTATCAGTGTGATGCAGAATCTGTGACTTGATTTAGAGACTTTTTCTTTTAACAGTGCAGCAGTCTGATGGCAGTGGGGAAGAAACTGTTGCAGAATCTGTTGGATCCAGTGGCTGTTCTAGACCAAATGTGTCAGGGGGGCCAGGAGGGGACCAGCATGGGGGAACAGAATAGCATGAAATAAAAAACAGGGCAAGGGATTCAAATAAATTAAGATAACTGCATGAAGTGAAATTTCTCTTCAATTAGGTTTCATTAAAATTCTTAATGTCTGATTAGGTCAATACACATTCAGAATCTAGGAATGTTACATATTTTTGACTTAATTTAAGTTGAAATTACAGTTTTCTATCAAATCTGAATTAGAATTTAAGAAAAACTGTTAAATTTAGCTGTAAAATTTATAGTATTTTATTTCTTTGTTTTGAAAAAAACATTTAGCAGATGAAAACTGGGATCCTATCTCAATACCACTGAAGCTAACACCTTATTGTTTTTAAATAGTTAATAAACAGAATTTGTAAAGAAAAAATTAATTAGATCCAAAGGATCTATCAGTACCAAGTCTGTTTCAGCGCGTATCATTGTTAGAATTAGAGTATTGTGTCATTAGTAAAGGGGCCATAATAGGAGCCAGACCATGATCCACAGGGCCCCTGGCCCCCGTCTAGAACCGCAAATGGTTGGACCTGCATCAAATGCTGCATGATGGTGCATTAAAAGATATCCAGCTGTCAGGGGTTATTAAGGAAAGTGGTAGAGAAGTATTAATAGATTAGTTTTTATGGAGGTGATCGTTTGATTAATGGCTTCATGTCTTAACTGTGATATGGGTACATGGACAACTCTGCCTGATTGGTAGACTGGGTGGTGGTGGTTATTTCTAAAGGGTGACAGTGTGATTAATTTATCAAGGAATCACACCTATTCTCGCTGGAAAGGCTTTATCTATGTTTAAGAGGATCTACAGTTAATTGAACCTCAGGTCCAGGATCAGTAAACAGGAGAGCCAGATCACATCACTGCAGTGTCCATCATCTCTATCTACCATAGAGGGCGCAGCGCCCCCTGCCGCCTCGCCTCGACATAACCCTTGGCTGAGAAAAGCTTTCTTTCCTTGGTTCGCTGATTAGCAGCTGCTGAGGCGGCGTCCCCGTATGGTGCCTCGACGCCGTCCACACGGCTCGGTGGTTCCCGTTATGGACGCGAGGAACCGGGGTGAAGCAGCGTGCCGCTTCCCCCCGGATGGCGGAGTGGAGTGAGCGAGGATGCGCTTCCCCAGCTCCATCTTTGTGTCGGTGTCTCTGTTCACGGCGGAGACCACGGCAGCCCTGTACCTCAGCTCCACGTACCGCTCCGCAGGGGACCAGATCTGGCAGGGACTCACGCTGCTCTTCACGCTCGTCCCGTCCGTCCTGGTGCAGCTGACTCTCACCTTCATCCACCGGGACCTGAGCAGAGACAGACCGCTCATTCTGCTGCTGCACATCCTGCAGCTCGGTCCCATTGTCAGGTCAGAGTTGGTGTATTTGTCTCTGGAGATGCAGCTGTGCGCAGAGGGACATGTCCCTATAATGTGGTTTGCGATAAAAACCTGCTTGGTTTCGTTGATCTGATCGCTCTGCGCTCATGTAGTTGATTGCATCCTTTCTAAGCCTCTGTCTTGTCCTCATATTAATGCAGCGTGAATGCGTGCCAGTGTCATTTAGATCAGAAGTCTGATCATTAAAGGCATCGATAAGTTCCACATTACCAATGACATAAAACAGTTTATTTCTGAATCATGCAATGCATTGCCTATCATTGTCTAATTAATGTCTGCAAGGATGCAGGAGCATAAAGATCACCTAAACCTGCATGGTCTGTTACCTAATATACATGCATCCTGATGGTTCTTCTTGACCATCTGATTAAATAACACAAGACTAATCTTTCTCTTTAGAAACCTCCCTGTTGTGCATACACCCACACAGACAGTGGGATCAATTGTACAAACAGCAGTTGATCCACTTTGGTGAAAAAACATCTCACCCTAATTCTTCAGCTACAGCTGACTTGTTGGGGATTCTTTTTTGTCTTGGTTTCAGTTTACTGTAGCTTGTGGTGGTATTCTGTTCGTATTTGAACAGAGTTCTGGGAACTCTTTTTTTTTAAAGCTCACAGGCTGAAAATCTAATTAATCAGGTGGAATTTTGCTGCAATATATCTAACCTCATCTGAGGTTGGCTGGAAAAGTAAAGGTCGTAAAGTATGTTTAGGAACATATAAATGCCATGAGAAATTCCAACTATGTCACTTTTTTTTCATAATGCCGAAACACCTTATATTTTTGCCTGTTTTCACCTTTTAATGGTACAGGCATACATAATGCTTTTGGTAAACAACCCTGTAGCATACTTAATAGTGGTTTAGTCAAGACCATACCAAACGAGACCAAGATGTACCGAGATAAGGCCAACTATGAGGAGTTAAAGCCAACATTTGCAACACTGCCTATTTCAATAAAAAATACACCAGGTAACTTACATCATTGCTGTAAATGGACCTGGTGTTTTACAAAATTTTATGGATTTATTCACAATCAGTAAATTTATTTCTGGATGTTACAATAGCCTGTTGGTGTTTATTTATGTGACACTTAGCCAGGGAATCTTTATAAGTGTGGCAACTCTAAAATGGTGTTTGAATTAGTAAAAAAACAATCAAACATCTAGCTCTGGTTACTGGTTTCAAGTTTAATCAGGGTTTTTACAATTTTTTTTTTCATCAACTACAAATCAAAACTTATATCTTATAGATATAAGCAGGAACTCCAGCAACCATATGTATAAATAAGGGGTGGGATTAAAAAGTTTGCCTATTTTCCACTCCTTTTCAAGCAACTTTTGGTTTATAGAATGTAAAATGAATGACATGAAACATACATTGTGTAGACTATGGTATTATGTGTCTACTTAAGTGAATTTAGTGTATACATGGCTTTCAATAAATTTATCTAAAGTATTTTTAATTTCAATCCAGAAAAAAACCTTAGATTGGACATAGTAACCTATTATAGTGTGAGATACTACCAACCTTGTGATTTCTACGTTATGTTTCTTAGAATGATATATATATATATATATATACGCACGTGTGTATGTATATATATATATTTAGTTGATTATGAAGATCTCCAGTACACTGCCCCTGGAATGATGTTTTAAAATGTCAGCTGTAATTACTTTTTCAAAAAATAAAACGTTTCGTCTTTGTCAGATGTCAGTAGAGGGCAGAGGAAAGTCGTCTTATTAAATATCTGTTTGTATTATCTTGGCCTAAACAGGAACCACAAAAGCACCATGCATAATTAGAACATATCTTAGCATGCAAGTGTTAAAACTGTTAGGGGGGTGTAGCTGTCTGTAATTATTGTAAAATAACAAGCGTTGCTATTTGTAGCCATACCAGTGAAGTACATGTGGAGTTAATGACTCAGTCAGTGAAGAAGGTCTCTGTGAGCAGATTCCTCAGCAGAGAGACTGTTCTGTTTATGACTGTGACACCCTGTTTTGTTCTCACATTGTTCCCCAGCAGCAGCCTCAGTCATTTTGACCTATAACGGTCCGTATCCCCTCCAGTGTTCATTGAATGATAACTCTTCTTCAGACATCTACATCTTCCCTGGGCGAAGCACGGTTCTAAGAATAGTTCATGTCACTGCAGGCTGCTTATCACTGACAGCACAAGCATGTCTGCCACTGCTCCAAGCAGCACTTCCTCATCATACTCGTGCACAACTGCGCTTATCATTATCCGTCACAACAGTGGCACTGACAGCTGTTGGTTAGAAATAGTTAATTTCTAAACCAACTTATTTTCCTCTCAAATCCTCATTGTTTTTTTTTTAGCTTCTTTATGCATTGGAGCAGAAGTTAGATAAAATCTATTCAGCTCAAAGTTCACTTTCTCCATTTTTTCCTGTAGCTTTTTTTTTTTTTTTTTTTTTTGAGGTCATCTTGAACTCAAAGTCTGTATTTAAATGAATCTAGGAGGGAGAGTTAACTAAAGGATGAAAGTTACATCAAATATTTTTTTCAAACCGATTATAGAAGCTGCTAATCAATATTTATGGGAGTAACTATGACATTATGTAGAGTCAGATGTGGTTGTGATCTACCCAGATATTGTCAGTTTCAGGTCACTAGATTATGAGGTTTAACATCTTTCAGTACAGATGGCTACATAAAACCAAGGGCAGAAAGAGACCAACTTATGCAGCATGATATTATCAGTAAACATAGGACAACAAATTGTCTTTTTCTCTTTCATAATAGTCAAGCTCTGTTTAAAAATGTATTTTGCAGGAAAGAAGAATAGCTGTAGCAAATTCCCTTCTAACACTGTAGCATCAAAAAGATAAGTTATCTTATTTACCAGGGTATTGAAGCACTACCGTCTTGGTTCCAATGTGAAATGGCTTTTCACTTTAAAGTAGAGCTGCACCTTTTCAGGAATATATATTTTTTCTGGAATGCTGTTGCTGACAATTGTGATACCAAAAACCAGTTAGCATTTAGCTTTGCTTTAAAGAAACTTTCTGTGTGGATACATGTATCCCTGCTAGGGCTGGGGAATTAATTGCATTTACAAAATAATCTTCAATCACTATCAATATTACTCGCACTATATTAAACATTTCTCACTCCAGCCCTTTAGATGGCGGTAAAATGCTTAAAGTCAGCTTGTTGCCACACATAAAGGTAGAGAAGGTTACAGTTAGTATGTAGATCCATGCATACAGGTAGAAGTAAAACATTTTCACACACATTTTACAATAAAGTCCTGCAACAATGGACTCTGGGGAAGCAAGTTTTTGAAAAACTGAAAGCCTGGGTTGAACCATCTACAAGCTTAAGGTTTGTGCAATGGAAAAAATCAATCAGTTGCATCTGTAATATTGGTTAAAAATAATTGAACTTTAGATATTTGGTAAAATCATTTTGGCCTTAATCCCTACTATTTACTTAGTATGTCTTCCAGTCTAAAGAAATATTTTGTTAAAGTTCAAAGTTGCATTCAAAGAAGTTAATGAATGTGTTTGGGGAATAAGGAATTGTTTTAGGTTTAGATTTAGGGCTTTACCAATTATTTTAAACTATAATGGTCTTTATCAGGTGCATGGCGGCACTGGACAATGCACAGTTAATGTCCAATATGGCTTTCTGTATTACTTAAAGTCTGCACCCCTCATTCTGTTTCACTGCTAGATTGAGATTTTTCTCCAATTTTAGTGATTGCTTAACATTACTTCAGTAATGTTACTTTGGTAAAAACGTTTCAAAGCAGGGAGAAACTACCATTATCTTTATTAAACTGGCATGCACCTCTGATGCAAAGCAGGTCAGATGCATCATTATTCTGCTGTATCCACAGCAGTATCAATACTGAACATTTGCATGTCTGAGACAAATTGTCTGCTTGAGAGCAGTAAAGATATATTATTGAATTTCTACATCAGGAGAAGTTTTGTCATCTACATGTTCCACTCACTGCAACCTTTTAGATTATAGTTTCTCCTGCCTGAGCAAAACGTGCCAACTGTTTGCTGGAATTTGGATTAAATGTTCTATAGTAGCAATGGTGTAATACACAACAATAGGCCCATAAGCAACATTATCTGGGTGGGCCCCATATGAAGTATAACACGTGATAAAGGTTGAGGACACGGCAACAGTTCCATAAATCGGCCAAAAAGATACAATTTTGCTATTCTCAGTAGTATGTGATCACACATCAGACATGGAAAGATAGTGAGTGCGCACCTTGAATGGAACCATTGGTGATAGCGCACCACCACATGTTACAGACATCCCAAGTTCTGAAACGTGCCCCATACATGCACACTTCATCATTCTTCACCTTCACTAGACATGGATATACTCTAGTATATTAGCACAACAAGCCATCGGGCTACTTTAAGCTTTACAGCCCCCCTCCTCACGCACGCTCTCTCCATTCATCTCCTGTATGCAATCTTTACTCAAGTAGCAGCAACGTCCACTTCTCCCTCTGCTTTGCTATTGGTGTCGTGTTTAAACGGCTCACCATCATGTTGAAATCTGCCATGTGTTGCGGTATAAATACAGTCCGGTGCGGTCAGGCACTTCAGTATCAGGTGGGTTTAAGAGGAAAAGAGACGTCCTACACTGAAAAATAATGATAATGCAAGTGTTTTTGGCATTTACTTAATCATATTTAGTTAGTTTAACACAATTGTTTCCTGTTAGCAAGGTAGGACTTAAAACAATCTTGTGCTGCTGCTGGAAGTTGAGTACGATATTCACAGTCTGGATTAGTAGAAAGTAGTTTTTGCCCTTCATCCTCCCTATCCTCCCTTTTCCTTCCTTCCTTCCTTCCTTCCTTCCTTCCTTCCTTCCTTCCTTCCTTCCTTCCTTCCTTCCTTCCTTCCTTCCTTCCTTCCATGTTTGCCTTTTTTTGTCTGCCTTCCTTTTGTTGCTCCTTTCTTGTGCCCTCTCTGCTCCTTTCTTTACTTCAGTTCTTGCTTTAATTGGCATGGACTGATAACTCCATATAATGTTGTTTCTGGAAATGCGTATAAGTTTTAGAGGAATATGTAGATCTCATATTTAAGAGCTTGAGTAATACCCAGTCTGCATGTCACCCATTGTTATACAGATGAACAGTTGGTCTCTCAGCACAGCTCTGGTTTAAATCCTGTAGTCGTGTTGTTTAATTGGCTGTAGATCAACACTGCTAGACCCACAGCTCTTTTGGCCACAGCCTGCTCTTCCTGGTTTAATATTGGATTGGAAAATGACTGACTCTCACTGACACTGATGGCTCTTTTGACCTCCATAATGACAAACTATTCAATGCAGCTGTAAATGACCCTGGTGGTAAATTTACCTCAGGCTGTTGAGCTTCTGCAGCTTCTTCATCTGCAGCATCATGCAGACATTCTGTGGAAACAAGTAAACACTGAATGTATTTATTAAATAATGGTAAAAGCTGCAATGAATATATTGATGATATAAAAACCTAAATATATTGAATGTTTATAGATCAAATTACAACATATTTGAGCAGCTATGGCATTGGCTAATGTTGCCATATTTTATAGAAGTATTGATCTCAAAACAGCCTAAGTGAGGTTTTAACTTAGTAATTACAAACACTATAAATCACTTCACCGTAGCTGTGCTAGAACAAAGCCTTCTTTTATTATTTGAGGATGTCCTCATTAATATTAAATTAGGTATATTTATTGATAAAGTAAAATGATGAATTTATGAACACTTTTTCATTATTCGTAAGAAGTTGTGAGTGTTTGTTTATGCTTTTGAATCTTTAATTGATTTTGACATCTTTTACACCCTTCAAATATAAACTGCATTCAAAAAACCTTAGATCAGGTTTTTAAACAAGCCCTTTCTAGCTTTCATCTTAGCTGATAACGTTACAGTCATTCATCTTTCAGTTCCTACATGATAAAATCTGCAACCAGCTGCTTCAGACTCTAATTTACCCTTATAATCCAGGGACTGAAAAGGCAAATCAATAATATGCATGTTGCTGGAGTACTGGTGACTGGTGTGTTTGGGCATGTGGTCTCACTGAAACATCCTTTTAGGGGCATTTTCCTCTCTAGCTTGAGGCAACATGGCCATGATTGCCATCTATTAATCGTTTATATAGTGTTAGCAACTTCATTACCTACTGGCTCGCTGACTAATGAATACTCATTTGGATTTCATTAAACCAATGAGTCTCTCCTTTTTTCATTTGGAGGGAGGCTGCATCCCTTAGGCAGAAAAGGATCCAACCTTTGGAGACCAGGGAACTCAATGTTTAATACTGTTACTACGTAGAGGTGTCTGAATATGCAAATCTTTGCAAGTAAATGAGATTTAGACTAGATAAGGGAAACATAAATTCAATCTTGTGACCAATCTTGTTCTTGCATTCAGATAAATTTACCATCAGCAAGGAGGCTGAAACTGAAGCTTTCACAGTGTGGATGATTTTAGTTTTTCTTGGTTATATCATATGTTGCATCTGAAATGCATTTACAGCTCTTACTTTTCACAAAACATTATTCACACAAAGGACTTCAATAATGAAGTGAAAGTATTTCAGAGAAAACATAGAATTAAAGTGAAAGTTAAAGGGATATTGTGTAAGAATGACTGCTATTTAGTGGTGAAATGGGGTATTTTGCTCAAATGAACAGTATAATCTAGCGAGTCCCTGCCTGAAACATGCATTGGGGCAACGGTAGCCGCCGTGTGTCAAAAAAGCCTTGACAAAACAAATATGACCATTTCATGTGAAGTGAAGTCTTTACAAGCCGGCATTTACTGTGACCAAGAGCCACCACGGCTTTGGAAGCTTCTAAACCCATTTAGAACCTATTCTGTACCAACAACACTGATTTATGTTTACAGGATGTTTTGTTTTTTTATGATAACGAGCAACACTGTCTAATTAAATCAAATGGAAAAAGTTAGCTTTACACTAATTTAGGCAGCACAGTTCACTAACTCCTCAAGAAGAAACATGGCAACTTCAGCATCCATTTTAAAATCTCCCTTCTTTATTAGCTCCTTCCACCTGCAGAAAGTTTGCTCTATGATTATCCTTGTGTTATAATGTCTCCAGTTTCATAATCTTTTAAGTTCTCTTTTTTTGCTTTCTTGGGGATGATGAAACCGTTTCTCTGCTGCTGCACATGTATGGTCCTGCATTGTGCTGTAGTTGTGCAGGCTTAAATTTTTTGGGTTATTGTCTCCAAGTGATTTCCACCACTGCCTTTCAATCACACTGAACTGCCAGCAAGGTGAAAGAGGTTGTTATACTACGCATTAGCACTATTTAGGTGTCTGAAATTTCAAGAACACAGACTCTCTAGGCACTTTGCAAGCTGGTGACCAGCCTTATGAATAAACTAATTTGAAATTCTTCATTTATGAAAGTTAGTGGAGGTAATAATGAACCAATGATAACACGAGCATGCACAGCTGGGACAGGTGTTGTGAATGAAACGGTGCCCAGCTTGACAGAGCTCCAGTGTTTCTTTGAATGTGTGCATTGATGACTCAAAGACATCGTCTGCCTCCATTTATCTGTTTACTACAGTGTGTTGAGTTCATGTTAATTTTTATTTAAAAACATTTCAATTAGTGGAAAAACTTGCAGCGAGGAATAAAAAAAAAAAACTCTAATCAACCAAAACTTTCGCAAGCCCCATTCAGTACCTCTGTGGACCCCCAAGGGGTTGTGGACCCCCTGTTGAAGACCTCAGATTTAAGCTATTGTTTGCTGTAATGTATTATTTTTTATCTATAGTTTGAATTGAAAATATATTTGATATTTTTAGGTGCAATCCATACATGTGAACACGTGAAGAAGGATGTTTGTGGACTAGGATTTATTTATTACATTTTTTTTTTACCAAAACTGATGAGGAGTTTGTGAATTTCGGGAAAATTAAGAGCGTAAAAAAGGGAGAACCACAGAAAGAGCAATCTCCAGCTTCTTCAAGAGCAATCAGGCAAGAAATGTCTTGCATAAAATTTTGTTAAAGATTAACAACATTGAATTTGTTAACACTGGTTTCAACCTGGAATTGCTGGGAATCTCCAGCAAGATTAATTTAAAGTAAGGTATAAATTTAGAACTGTAATTTTCTTTGTTATTGTTCTTTCAATATGTACTGAATACTTTTTTGTGTGTTTGAATTTTATCTCCAATTCTAACAGTTAACAATTCCTATGAAGCTTGCGCTGCTGCACAAAGCCTGAAGCTGTGGTACACCAAGATTCCAGCTTTTTAATTTTTTTTAAAATTTTGTTATTACTCTTTCACAAGTACACAGCAACAAAAAAAAACTTTTTGCATTTAACCCTGGGGATCGAACCGGGTACTTGCAACCTTCTCAGAGCACAAGCGCACTGCTCCAACCCACTAGGCCAACCCTCCCCTAAGGTGTACATCCTATGAAATATTCCTAGCTAAAAGCCTAATATATATGTTTATGTGTATATATATATATATATATATATATATATACACACACATATGTGTGTGTCTAAAATAGAAATGACAATAATGATGCAGCAGCAGTTAATCTTCTCTGCTCTTCGTCTCAGGTGTCTGGAGGCGTTCTGCATCTATGGCAGCGTGGGCCAAGTGGAAGAGCCTTATGTCAGCATCACCAGAAAGAAGCAGATGCCCCGCGAGGGGCATTCAGTGGAGGTGGAGCGGCAGGTGGGACAGGCCGAGGGGAAACTGTTCACGCACCGTGCAGCATTCTCCCGCACATCTGTGATTCAGGCCTTCCTGGGATCGGCTCCCCAGCTCACATTGCAGCTCTACATCTGTGTGCTGCAGCGAGGGGTATCTATTGGAAGAGGTGAGGAGGTGGTGTGGTGGATGTGTGTGTGTGTGTGTGTGTGTGGGGGGGGGGATTAATATGAGTCTGTCATAAGTGTGCTACAGTGTGGGCAGAGCTGGATGTTGAGTCCAAGTGGGGTTATGTAACTGCCCCACTGGTGCGATGATGAAAATGCTGCTTTTCTCTCTAAATGCTTCTCAAGCCAAGAGTTTTTAGATTTTAAACAATACAGACAGATCTTATGGTAATTTGTCAGACATGCATTAATCAGGCAAAATACCACTTTGTGAATGAACTGTGATGAGGCAATTTTTTACTTTGCCTTGAAGTCATATTTATTCAGCTTGTACTGTAGTCAGTAAAATTAGTCCAAAGAGTAGAAAGACAAATCACACATTTTTTGTTGTTGTGAGGTGTGTAGTAGCTATATGCATTTACTTGAGTAACTTTTAGAGATTTAGTGAGGAAAATAAGTATTTGAACACACAACTGTGACAGACATTATCTAAGAAAAGATAATCCAAAAATCACAATAGATGTGATTATCTATATGTGATATATCTTTTTCAGTTGGCTGTGTCTAAGAATCAGGATTTTTGATAGCTTAAATGCTTTGCTTGTCCATTTTTCCAGCAGTCTTCAGAACTCCTGCCTTACACAAAGAATTAAGCTTTATAAAAGAGAAAAAAGTTTTTTTTTTAATAAAATGTATTATACTTCAGAATTAAATATTATTTAGAGATGCTAACATTGGTTCCACATATCAAAACTCTCTCCTGCTTCTTTACAGAAATGCAATCAGCAGTTTTCGCTTGTTTTAGCGTAGATAATATTTAATATTTAGTTTTTTAATTGGGACTAGTTTTGTAGTCTAATATTAATTGTAGTAGAGGTGGTATTCTAACTGGAATAAAATATTATTTCGCATTCCAAGCACTCGCATACAAATATGGACTAGAAAACAGCCAATCAGGAAGAGAGAAGGAGGAACTAAGGCAGAACAACCAATCAGAGTGGATCTAAACAGCAAAGCACAGTTGCATGCGCTGCTAAGTTAAAGGGACTGGAAAGGCCCTGCAGATATTCAGACGGAGCAGCTGTGGCAGCTACCAGGCAGCGAAGCTTTGAGGAAAGAAGTGACTGCTGCAAAAATGCTGTATTGTAAATTATAAACATGTTATTCACATCAAATTATTGGTAGGGACAGCTAGGTTGCTCCAAAAGGTTGGTAGGGACATGTCCCTATGCAAACCTACGCCCAATAAAGTGGCCTAAATGGGAGTCCAAAGCAATAACATTCCAAAACAGAGTGGAGAGTTACAATCTTTCTAAGACAAGAGACGTCAAGCCATGTATTATAACTGTTTACATTAAGCAGTTACAATACATAATATTTAAAATGATTATCTCCATATTTCATAAACGCTTATTAGTAAAGAACAAATGGTCATCCAGGTCATGGTCATTCCAAATAAGTTTTAAAAGTTTAAAAAAACAAACCACTGGACTTTGTTTTCCAAATTTGAAGACGTTTCCTTCCCATCCAGGAAGCTTTCTCAATTCAAAATGCCGTGAGAACGGTGAGCTTCAATGACTGTCTGAAACTGTAGCTCGCCACACGTGTACGCCTGAAAGTGCGCATGCGCAGTAAAAGATAGCTAACCGGACGAGCAAGAAGGATGGCCTTACGTAAACATATCACCAGAGTGATTGACAATTAGGACGACCACTTATTTTGACGACCCACCCGGAAAAAGAAAATCCTCCGCTATACCTTTAAGATGCACGTTGTTTACACCCTAGACCACGTAATCAAAGGAGGAGCTTCAGCTACGTGAAGATGACATTTGACCCATGTGAAAAAACTCAGGAAATTGACTGAATGGTTAGTTTTATGTTAGTGCAGATTTATGTAGTTAAAATAATGTATAAAAAATAATTAATACAAAAAAAACACAATGTGCGCTGCTTTTGTTTCAGATATTAAAGATTATTTTTTTAGATCACCCAGCGGTCAAATATTCCCCCCATTAAGCTCTGAATTGAATAAAAATTATCTACTTTTCAGTGCTACAGGTAAAACTGTTGCCATCTGCCATCCCAGCAGACGTTAGTTCTGCGCTGAAATAAAGTTTTTGCATAACTTAAGTCATTCCTGTGCTGGCATTGAATAAACCATTGGGCATTTTTACCTTATTTAGTGAAATGATTGTTTTAGAGTTTATCAGCCTCCCTGCCATTACCCCTGGCAACCCCATAACATTTCCTGTCAAGGTCTGCCCCTCACACTAAAAGGACAGGTGAAACAGAAGATTACAGATTGCTGCTTAATTGACCACGGGCTAAACCAAAACGGCTTTTGTAGAGCCACCTAAAAACCTCTTCAGAGCATTCCTTATTTCATCCTTTAACATTATTTCCCTTATACTCCATTTTGACTGAACTAAATCGGATACACTTCTTTAACGTACAGTACGTCACAACCACAACCGATCTCTGAATGCAATTACACAATAAAGTTCAGATTTTTTCAGTGTTCATCATTCCACTCTCTCCATGCGGTGCTGCTGTTTGACAACACCTCTATTCTATCTAGTAGCATGAGGTTAGAGTGGAGCAGTGAACACTATCACCGCATGGTATTCACTGCTCCCCACTTCTCTGCAGGTTTGCATAGGGATACTTTCTAAATCCACTGTCCCCTCTACAGACAACGCATCTATGGATTATATATATATGGATTAATTATTTAATATGGGTAAAAGTGGACCTAGTTTCATGCTGCAGTTTATTAAATATCCAAGGGAATCTGTGTTGAGCAAGGGGGTATTTAGTCAAGGAAATTAGAGATTCATATATAACAAGGAAATTACTTTGTAGGATTTTAAAAGTTTTTTTTTTCTTAACACAAGCAAGCAAGATGTCTGGCCCTCACAGACCTGTAACAGCCCATTTTTCTTCCACTCACTACTTGTATTAATGGCACCATCCTGAACTCACTCAGGTTTATGGTTGAGATAAAAGGATGAGGAAAAGTGCATGAAGTCCTTGAAAAAAAAACCCTGTTCTTTAAATAATGTGCTGCTTATACTTATGTGTTTCTTCTTTTAGGCACTCTGATGGTCATTTCCCTTTTGTCCATTGTGTACGGGGCACTGAGATGCAACATCCTTGCCATTAAGATCAAATACGATGACTATGAGGTGGATATTGGACCCATGGCCTACCTGTGCATCTTCCTGTGGAGGAGCTTTGAGATTGCCACACGTGTGGTGGTCCTGGTTCTGTTCAGCTCCGTACTGCAGCTTTGGGTCCTTCCTGTGGTTTTCTTGAATTTTGTGGTGTTTTTCTTTTACCCCTGGATCCTCTTCTGGCAGAGTCACTCTCCGTTCCCGGAGAACATAGAGAAGACCCTCACCAGAGTGGGGACCACCATCGTATTGTGCCTGCTGACTTTCCTCTATGCAGGCATCAATATGTTCTGCTGGTCTGCTGTGCAAGTGAAGCTGAGCGACCCGGACCTCATCAACAAGTCCCAGAACTGGTATCGCATGGCCGTGTACTACATGGTGCGCTTTGTAGAGAACGCCTCATTGCTCTTGCTCTGGTACATCTACAAAACAGACTTCTACGAGTTCATCTACGCCCCGCTGCTTGTGCTGCAGCTGCTGCTGGCTTACGCCATCGCCATCTTCTTCATGCTGGTCTTCTACCAGTTTTGCCATCCGTGCCGGAGGCTCTTTTCCTCCAGCATGACGCAGGGCCTCTGGGATTGCTCCTCCTTCCTATGCTACTTATGTACCTCAGCATCCCATCAGAGCAGGCCGATGGGGAGGGCAACAACGGAGCCTTCTGCCCATATAGAGCCATCCAACGACCAAATCCACGACACAGCGAGCGAAAGCGCAGATGAAATGCAGAATGACACAACGTACGACGTGCTCAACGACACAATCTACGACGTTCCCAATGTGGAAAATAGCATCAGAGGTGGAGTCAACGGGGATGTAAGCCACAGTGTGTCCTGCAATGTCTAAAGCATCACAAAAGTGCAACCTGTGTCCCTCAGTCACTTTCACAGTCCTCTTTCTCATATCTCTCGCTTCTTTCAAATAAGAGGAAGATATGGATTAATTCTGGCTGCAAACATACACAGATGATCAGCCATGTTTCAGCTTACATCTTCCCTTTTGCAGCTGGTTTAATTTGATTGTTTTAGAGTCCCCTTTTTGGCATGGATGCATGCAGATGTCTTAAATTCCAATGAGCTACAAAAGCTGTTAAGAAGAATCCATCCTTGTCAGTTTATGGCTGCAAACAATGAGCTTTTTTACCACTTCAGTTAAAAACTTTTTGTTTCTCAAACACTGCTTATGTGATGTGCTCATGCTTGATGACGAGATGTTTGATACTAAATAACAGATAAAGAACCGCTCCACATGCTATTGTAAAGCACAGGTATTTTAAAGAAGCGTAAAATGTATTTTGCACGTTTACAAAAAAGTGTCTTGCTCAGCAGTCAATCAGCAGCCATAGTGACTGGAAATGTTTTTTCTTCTGTGTATCTCACTTGTAATACTTAAGAGTAAAACATGTTTAACTAAAAGAAAACACCAAATATTTTTTGCTGTTTTTTTTTTTTTATATCACAAATGTAACTTTACATTTAAAAATGTCACTGCGCTTGTTTTCTGAATTAATCCCTATTTTTTGCTACGTATCTGCAGTGGAATCAACCAAACGCTTCTGTTTGTGTAAACATTCATGCTGCGACACAAAAATTACAAACATCCTGACACTAGAAATTTGTGCTATAAAAAATAAATGCCTAGTTAAAAATAAAATCTATATTTATATGTGAAAAGTGTAGTTTTTGTCTTCATGTGTTATGGTGACATCTAGTGGCCATTCACGCAAACTGAAAGTACATTTTTTATTGTAGTTAAAAAAACAAAACATGCACACACTAATAAAATACATACAATAGAATATATTTACTGAACATAAATAGTTTTCTTGTTGCATTCATGGAATTTAACCCAGAAAATTAGAAAATGCATCTACACTACCTGTACAGAAATGAAATTGAAATGTCAATGTACAGTTATAGAAAACAATATAGAAGTAAATTACTATTTACTAAAACAAGACATTTCCTATACACCTTAATCCACTGTGCCCTATCAGAAAATTTAGTCTACATCTTAATGTGAATGTTTTATTTGGTCTTATGATGCAGAAATATGGTATATATATATAAATACGACCAAAGTACAACTAATGGAAATGGAATTTTGACAAATCTGTGTTGCAGGCTTTTGTTTAGCTTAATCAATGAGTTCTATCAGCCTGGTTTTCTGAAAATAACCTTCATCCATACAGACACCAGAGTACATATACAGAAATGTCCCAGGGGTGAAATCGTGTCCGGGGACGATTTCATCGCACAACCTGATGTCCCTTTCTGCACGGCTACAGAGCTGACGGCGCTCGGAGGGGGAGCAGCTGCAGCTCGGCGTTGCTGTCACATCGCCACAGCAAACACACTGACCACACAGTACATGGTGCGGTTCTCCCACCGGACCGTGCAGCTTCCTGAAAATACATAAACCACATGCTTCATGCAATGGATCGCCTTTCAACTTTAGAAAGTTACATAAAATGATTTCCTTCAGAAAAAAACTTAAAATTTAACTGAATTATTTCAAATGTATATCGACTATAAAAACCAATGCAAGGCATCTTAAATTTTAACATTTACAAAACCTATACTGATTAAAGCTGCACCTTATAATAAGCACCGTCAGAATTTTAAATTTTACTGGGTTTATTTTATTTAACATTTTTTACTTTGGTTTACTAATAAGATAATGTTATTTTCCTGTATGCAATGCAGCTTCATTGTTTTCCTAATACTTGCTTTCATATAGTATGTACAGAGTGTGTGTGTATATTCATTCAAAGAGTTTTCTTTATTATCATGACTAGGAAAATTGTAGATTCCCACATAAGGCATCAAAACTATGAATTAACACATGTGGAATTATATACTTAAAGTGTGAAACAAATGAAAAATATGTCTTATGTTCTAGGGTCTTCAAAGTAGCCACCTTTTGCTCTGATTATTGCTTTGCATAAACTTGGTATTCTATTGTTGAGCTTCAAAATGTATATGTACATATATGTTACAGAAAACTCTGCAGAGCCATTAATTCCCTGTTTATTTCTCAATTACCCCTCTTTAAAATGGTGCATGATATTTAGTTCAATCCCATTTATTTTGGTGAGGTTAACCTTTATTTAAATCAGGCATATTGACGCCCGGTCTAAATGTAACTTTTTTAAATGTCTATTTTTGTTTTTTTTAGTAGAAGGTAATGGAAAAGTTATTCTATTAATTGTAGCTGCAGGACAGAGTGTGGTGAAACTGCAACCAATGCAGATCCAGGTCTACAAGCAGCCTGTTTTTTTCAAACGATACAGCTCGAGATCAATCTTATCAAGCAAAAAGCAAAAAAAAAGAGCTTCTTTGAACATGGCTGGTTTTCCATCCATCTTCAGGAAGTTGTGACTGATTCGGTATAACAAACCATACAAATTTACCATTTGTTCTTGATTCTCATGGCTTGCAGTGGAAATAGCCTTTGGTTCAAGGCTGTGGAAGTAGTTTTACACAATACTAACATTGGTTTTAGTCTTAGATTTTGACAATGACATCAAAGGACATCAAGTTTTACTGTCTCCTACCATCGGTAGTAGTGTCCCAGTAGCAGGAATTGGCTGTGTGGAGACCGGCACCGCTCTTCTGCATGACTGAACAATTCACTGAATCACAAGAGACACAGTTGTTACCCACATACTCGTTAAATCATGAAGAAAACTACATGCGGCTAATGTAAATGATGGCTCACCAATGTATTTGAAGGGCCGACCCAGCTTCACCAGGTGAGTCAGTGAATGCTCCACAATACTGGCTGTCCATTGGTTGATTTTGTTCTGGTTATAGTCTGTTCCACCAATGACTCCTTCAATACACTAGGAGAAAGAAACAGGAGTTTTTCCTCATATCACAAAAGTTTTTATTCATAATTTAGGGGAAAAAATGTTACCTCCTTCACCAAGATGCTTATCTCGTCAGAATTAAAGTTGCCCTGGAGGATAGTTTTAAAGAAGAAAAAAACAAGGTGAGTAAGCATTAACATTGTTTACGGTCAAATAGACCACTTTTTCTTACCATTAATTTCTCTGTTTTTATCACCACACATACATAAGATGGGGAGGAATTTAGGTAATATCTCGTATTTACTACAATTCATATAACTTCAATAACATTCATGTAAAAATGAATACACAAAAATTGCAAGCAGGTTTCTGCAATTTGTTTTTAACAGGGTTTAGTTCTTGTTCTTGCAACCAGATTGTGTTGTTTTTTTATATGAATGAGCAGCATTAATGAAAACATGAATGTTGCTTATTTAAAGATGTTCCTTTAAAAAATAAGATTGTTTGCTTAAGTAATGGTGTGTAGGTTTCATTTATTTTAATACTTTATTCGATCAATCAGTAGATAAAAAAGACAATTTTTAGTATTTTAAATTGATAATGGCAGATATGTAATAAAATATATACATGTCATTATATTTAACAGGGTAGTAAAGTTCTATTTCCCTGATTTTATGAATATCTCCAATCAGCTGTTTGCAGTTGTCAAATCTGAAACTCATACTGTATTTGAATATAAAAATTATTAAAAGCCGATTATATAATGAAGCCTAATTTGTGAAAACTTCTCTTGGTGAAGAGGTGAAAAAAAAGCAGTGAATGTGGATATGTCATAGTCTGATTGTCTGCAGCTTATTATCTCCATGGTGGGGTGGTGCTCACTGGCAATATTCTGCTATAACATGTGAAGTGAAGAATAAAATAACAACGCTCATCTTTCATAAAGATAACACATCTCAACTTGTACGTTTGGTAGATTGGAAATAAAGCGGAGTGAACTCCATGCACGCTCCTAGCGGGGGGATACAAATTCTGGCCGGGACACCGGCAGTCTATGGACAAGAGGTCACAAGTCTGTCGCAGGCATGTATGAAATTTTGATTTAAGACCGATCAGATGTTTGTAAAGCAAGCTTCTCAGGAGTGACAGCGGTGACAGCCAATCACACAAGAAAAGACGGTTTGCCAATCAGGAGCTTGTAGGCGCTCTAAACTCAGGGAAGGGGCTTCAGCTTGAGCTGAGCTTTTCCTCTTGGTCCTAGTGCAAGACGAATGTCTGTGTACTGTAGCATAACACTGTTTTTTGACAGTAAAAGTGAAGGAGACCAAAACTGACATTTGAAAAATTGCAGGGGACATGTCCCCCCTGTACCTCCCCAACATTACATCCATGGTGACAGGGCAACACAGATGCACACAAAGGAATACAACCATGGGCACACACACACACTCACACCTAAGGACAATTAAGAGATACCAGTTAACTTAGTAGTCATGTTTTGGACTGTGTGAGGAACCCATAGTATCCAGAGAGAATCCATGCATGCACAGGGAGAAAATGCAAACTCTATGCAGAAGATCTAGCTGGAACTGTCTTGCTGCAAGGCAACAGCGCCACCCACTGCTCTACTGTGCAGCTTTCATAAAAGAAAATTTCTCTATTTAAATATATAGTAACCTCTCTGTTTAACTGGCTTACATTTTGTGGTATAAATCTATTCCTGAAATCAGTACACCTGCATGAATGGCAATTATTCATTCAATCCCTAAATATATACATTTTGGTGTATATATGACCAGCTGCTGGGTGGTTGGTAACTAGACAGCTGCGGTTAGAAACGGTTACCTTGGAAACGCTTTTTGTTAAATAAGCTAGTCCATTCACCCGGATTTTGTTAAAATACACACACACACACACACATACACACATATATATATATATATATATATATATATATATATATATATACTGAAAATATTAACTTTGAATTATAGCTTAAATATTCATTTTGGAAGAAGGTTGCCTCCGCGAAATCTTTATTTGTGATAATGCACACCTCGATTGGCATAATTAACCCCTCAACGGTCACTAAGGAGAGATAAATATTTAATACATGATCAATAACATCTATTATTTATAACATCATACTGCCCGACAATAACAATCTTTAAAGAGATGTTGATGCTGAGGTCAACCACACCCATCAGCTAACTGACTCTGTTGACAGCTAAATGGTTTAACAAACCGATACAAATTTCAGCAGACTGACTATAGAGCTTTTTATGACTGTATTGATATAAAAAAACAAGTTTACATCATCCCCAGAGCTGTACTCCTCCATCCTGAATAGCACACACAGACACCGCCTGTCTCCTCCCTTTGTGATTGCTGCCGACTGCTGTTATTCTTCCTGTTGAAGCTCTTCTTCCTCTTTTTAAGCGGTTCATAGCGAGTAACAGCGCCTCCTCCTGGACTAAAATATGAGTGCGCCGTCTTTTACCTAGACAAGTCTTTTGAATGGAACTGGATTAAGGTGAAGAAAAAAAGGTATTTTACAGTACTTGGCGTTTTTTTTTGCAGTTCTGAACACCTGTTTATCATCATAGTCATTTGTCTTTTATGAATTGCTCCAATATCTGAGGTCCCTGCAGTACAGAGAGAAATGTAATAGTATTGAGGCACCAATATAATCAATTTCAATATCATTTCAACTTTCCATTAACTCTCCATTTAGAGTGCCTCAGTTTATGCAGAAGTGACTTTTAATCATAGTGCTACATGTCTATGCTGATTTATTACACTCACTT